TTTTGTGTCGATGTCTCGCATCGCAAAAGGTCCAGATATTCCTTCATGCCGCAGTTGGGTCCCAGCGAGGTTAGCAGCAACCAAATGTCGTACAAAACGTTGTCATTGTAGCAAATGCCCGTCAGTATGTCCAGCTTCATYTGCGAGAGYGTGCTTAATGCTGCATAATACATGGCACAAATACGTGACACCTGAACGACATCGCTATTGTCCAGTTTGCGCCATTGTACCTTCGGCTGCTTGCCAGCGGCTGTGGCCAATAAACCACTGCCACGTGTGGAGCTGCGTTCGAGCGCACGCCGCAGCAAATTGCTCGTTGATGGCTGCTGCGGTGAGTGAAACTCGATTCGTTCGTAGTTTTCGTTGATTCCCTTCAGCAAGTCACCCAGCAACAACTTAATGCACCGATGATCCCACAGCATGTGGAACTGTTTCTTAATGAGTGCCACATTCTGATTTTGTGCCGGCTCCGCGCAGGGTGTGTGCCAGCCTAGCAGTTCGTGCCACTGAGTAAACACGCCCTTCGTGGTCACTGTATTGGGTATTAGTTCCAGCAGCGATGTAGCGGTGTCCTACAACAATGACAGAAATATATTAACAAATCAAATATACCAAATCGAAGCTATGTCTACTCACAGTCAGCAACGGATAGGCCAATTTCTTGGCYTCTGCCAAATTTTCTATATTGAACATATTTACAATGTTGCCCAAATAAGCCAGCGTTTTGGTGCCCGACATGCTCGAAGCGAGCTCCTCGAACCACTGCAAGTCCTCTGATATGCCAAGAGCACGTTTTAGCAACGCTATTGAGCTGAACTGCTCAATGCATTGCGGAACGCTCTGATGCAAGTGATAAATTAGCGCCGGCACTGAGAGTATTTCGCTTAGAAATTGTGAAAGTAAATTGCGACTGAAGTCGCCATCGATCAACGGTCGCATACAGAGCGTGATTATAGCCACAAGCGTCACTGGTTTGACAGACAATTCTTCGCGTGCAGTTCCTTTAAGCAGTATAACCTGTAAATACGGGAATAGCAATGAATCATTATAGTTATAATTGACCCACAACAAACTAAGGCTTTATCGAAGCTATATCTGATAGGCTTACGCGCATAGTTTTGTAGAATCCGTGATGCACCAAGTGTCCCTGGATGTTGCAACAGATCTTCTGCATGGCTGGCTGCAGTCGTTCAAATTGGGCATTACGCAATATAGCCCAACTCTTGGGCGCAGTGAACACAATAAGAGTGTGTAAGAACAGAGCAAGCGATATGCTGTCAGCATGATTCTCTGGCTTCAGCTCAGGCAGCAACTGCATGCAATTGCCCAAAAGCTGTTTGATGTGTCCTATCCAAGGCAAACTGCGATCCTTGTGCAAACACAATGCAGCATAGGATATCTTTGGATTGTCGGCTTCCATTGCGCGGATCATATAGCGGCAAATGCGTTCCAGGCGATCTCGCATACGCCCATCGTTTTTATCCAATTTGATTTGTGTTAGATAGCGACGCAGCACAGGATATACATTAAGAGCGGGCGGCAGCTCTGTATCCTTCTCCTCCTGTTCGCCCCCATGACCGCCCATAAAGAGGGTGTCGAAGTCGTTGCTGTGATTTTAAGAATGTGCTTAAATTAAAAATATATTTATAGGAATTTTTCTTACATTATGCATTTCTGATATTTGCTGCGGGCAACAAATCCCTTAAGAGTAGCTTGCAACAAAATTGCAGCCTCTTCCCGCCGCTTCTCAAGGGCGCGCTCCTCCCGCGCAGCTTTTGTGTGTTCCAAAAAGTTGTTTTTATATGACTCTGTTTGTGCAAACATTTTGTATACAAATGTGTTATGTGGTTTTTGTTGCTTTGCTCTAGATAGGAGTAGCTAGATTGTTGTTTTCCTTATTGTAATGTTATTTCGATGGGTTATATTGCGCAGCAATTGAACAATTTAAAGCTTAAACTCTTTATTTTAATGTGCATTGCATTTTCAGCTTGCAGTAGCACTCAATTTTCCAATAACTATTTTTCATTTTCCTTTGCCACTGTAAATTTTATGTGAACAAGTTGAGCTGAAGAAATATTCTAACAGGGTGGCAGCATTATTATGAAGAAATAACGATGAATTCATCGATAGCATGGTGCAATTGGTTTATTAATTAGCAATATTTTTCAATTGCACTTACTTAAGAATGCCATAATTACACATTTGTTCATTAATTATTACACTATTAACAATTATAATACAGTTTACGAAATATGATATGATGGGAGAAATATCAGATATCGAATTAGTAATCAGTCTGCGAGACAGTTCATGAGCCAGTTCGCTCCGAACTGTCTTAACTTTATTTGTCATCTCCATCTCCAGCAGCACTTTCTACGAGCGAGAACGTCGTCGCGTTTGCGGGAATTAATAATTAATTAACTGTAAAAAAATATATAAAAATATTTGCACAAAAATAATGCCTACAACTACGAGCGGATACAGCTGTGTACAGTTTTATWTGATTTCATCCCAAAATGTGTTGCGTGCACGCGCAAATATGTCGTGGTGATGCCAGAGTCAGCTAAAAAAGGCGATGTAGAATGATTTTGCAAGACGTTGAAAAGCAGAGAATAACAAAGCCAAGTCAAGGTGAAAATTATACAAAAATTAATGGATGTGTGATCCGATAGCATATGCATATCAAATTAACGAAATATGCTCGTATTTCGTGTATCGGAACGATCAAAACTGTGTGAAAATAATTTCAAGGTTTGCAGCGCTAGCAAGCGAATAGAAAGCAAAAGGTAATTGAAAAATAGAACGATTTTGGCACAAGCGCAGAGCGCAGTCTATAGTCTATGGCTATGTTATTGTGTTGTTGTTAACGTTTTGTCTATGATTGGGTGGGTGGGGCGTGATTTTGGGGGCAGCTGGTTGTCGCAGCAGCAAAACAAAACAGCGAGCGTGTTTGTCGCTGATGTGTGGACGGGCGGACGGATGGACGACAGAAGCACTTGCCCAAAACGGAACGGAAAGTGAGTGCAATTGAAAAGWAGCGACATGAAAACAATTGTGCTGCGCTCTGACTACCGAAAGCAAGCACAACAACAGAGGCTGAAGCAGAGGCAATGCGAAGAAGAAGGAAAAGAAGAGTGCAAATGCCTGCCTGCCTTTGCTGTTGCTGCTTTGTAATCTCATGTAATTTGCCGCAATTTTTACTTGTGTATTCTGGCTGTTTCCGTATTGCGTATGGTTGTGTGTGTGAGCGCGCTTTGCTTTGGGGTCGGTAGGTCGTTTTGTAGCGCGCGACATATTGTCGCTTGCATTCCGCTACATTCGCAGGCATACAAACACACACACTAGCGCACTCAGCTGTGTGAGCATGTATGTGTGTATATGTATGTGTACATGTTTACAATATATTGCGATGTTCTCCCCCGCTGTCGGCGTATAGCGGCAGCAGAGACAGCAGAATCAGCGTCATTGCATGTTCCTTCGGCTGTCAGAAAAAGGCGCGCACGTTCGGCACGTTTGCGCTGCTGTGGCTGAGACTTAGTTTTACAGGCTCCACCATTTTTAAAAACGATAGCTACATTAGCTGACGCCACCGACGCCAGCGTCAGCTTCAGCGCCAGCGCCAATCAACGTCATTCTCTCGGCTGCTGCTGATGCTCTGGTTTTGCCTCTAGGGTTGTCCGCAGCCATTGCCATCCTCAGTGCTGCTCCCCATAGCGTGCCCGCTGCATCAATTATAGGCTGTGCCGCCTGCCTGGCTTCGTTTCGTTAAATCCGCATTTCTGTTTGTGTTTATTCGAGTGCAGATAATCAAATTTATATTGTGCATGCAAAACACAAATACGTGAAAAGAAAATGCTAAGCGAATGCGATCGCTGCTGGCTATATATGAAACACCGCACAATTGTGAGTACCACATTATTGTTGATTCATGTGCCTGTGTGTGTATTTTATTTCTGTAAATATGTATCGTTTATTGAACTTTGACTAATTGTGGGTGCCTGTGTAATATTAGCAGCAACTGTGATACATTGACATAACCTCAATCTTTGAAACTGTTCCTTAGCAAGGCATGCCTAGTTACCGTTACATAGCAGCGCGGCATGTAATAATATGTATGTATATGTATATGTATGTATGTGTATTTAATGGGTTCGATTTTAGCTTTAATATCGTACACAAGTAATTGTGTGCTGCAATTAAACAAAAATGTGAAATCCCACCTTAAATAAAAAAATATATATAATATAAATGTAAAAAAAAACCAGTAAATTCCACTTGACCGCTCTTTAATACTGTAATTGGGCCCGTTATGTTTTAATGCTTGCTCATGTGCACACATACATACATAGAGAGCATATTCATACATGTAGGTATGTACATTGACACAGCTGCATTGCCGAGAGAGCTTTAAAATTGTAACAGTAGGCAACAACAACARCAACAGCAACAGCAATGAAAAGAAAAAATCGAAGAAAGTCGCTAGCGAAACAACTACAACATCTACTGTAACAAGCTTTATTATACCCGTTCGAAATGAGCACAGCGTATAAAAGAAGAAAATACAAATGAAATAAAATAAAGCGCAACAAAATTAAATGAAAAGTGTAAATCACAAAAGCCCTGCCCTAACCACACTTATTCTAAATCTTTCCGTTGCCGCGCGCCTCCCGCGCGCCCTTATATTAAAGCTAGACACGCTTTAACCTAATAGGTAAATAATGATTTTGAAAAATTTGATGTCTAGTATTAKTATTGATTTATCGCCGCTGCGAACGCCACCATCGCCGCCGCGAAGCTCCAAGCAAAGGTGTTATGTACCAAACTCGTTATTTATTTATTTATTTTTCTGATAAGAGCCACCCCGAAGGTGCCGCCCGACGTCCAATGGACGGACAGACGGGTGGACAGAGGGTCGTTCGGAACGGGCCACAATGAATGCTAATTTTTTTCTTTTTCACATTTAATCATAATTTTTATTTTCGCCGTCGTGTATATGTCAGGTTGCAATTTCTTGTTATTGTCGCCACATTTGTAAATTTAATAAATTAGCAAAAAATTGATTTGATTAACTTTGAATGTTGTCGGCGGCGTCGTCGTCG